GGAAGTTTGTCAGAGCTCAGTTACACTTGTCCTTCTCTCGCAGTTCCTTATCCCTCTTTCTGCGTACCAATCTGGCTCCCCGTGATACTCATCAGAGAGCACTTCAAAATCGCGCCCGAGACATTCGTGCCGCGAACCGACTCRCTCGCTTTGACGCACCGCCTACTACCACTGAGCCACCCACCCGTCCCAGTTCTCCCTCCTCACAGTCTCCACCTCTTGACATCATGCACACGACGGGATCAGCGAGCCCCGCCCGCTCCACCAGCGAAGGGCTTGCGTTCATTGCCCAGGAGCAGATTTCCGACTCAGTGACCACCCAGATGGCAACCAGCTCGGGCCCGACTTCCCAGTCAKACCCCATATTGAACATACTCCAGCGTCTCGAGGATAGATTCACGGCCCTCCAGGCCGATGTCTCATCCTTGTCGGCCCGTGTGTACCAGTTGGAGCCCTCTACCAGCGCATCCACCTCCACGTCATCCTCATCTGCGTCTATGGTAGCCCCCTCTTCTTCGTCAGCTGGCGTCATCTACACGCTTGCCTCATCCACGGGTGGCATGTCTTCGGCTCTGACTCACCTCTCTCCTGCAGCCACCTCTTCCTCCCAAATCCCCACCTCGACACTTCCCTTGTCCGGACCCATGGCATCGTGTTCCGCTACCTCCTCCATTCTAGTTTCCACGACACCTCTCTCACCACCCCCCACTTCTTTACCCCCACCCCCCATGACACCCCGGACACAAATTGTCCAGCTCCAAAATCAACTCGCCGTGGCCCAGGATCACATCCGCCAACTCCAAGGAGATCAACCCCTGCCTTCCCACCTCGCGACACAGCCCGTTGCCCCTTTCATCTATCGACAGCATCAGACACAGGTCGCGGCGATGCATTTCACCCTCCCACCATCGGCCACCACGATGTGTCAGGGACCTCTGCCCCAGCTTCCCGCTCTTTCTAGTGCTCAAGCTGGTGCTACCACTTCTTCTGTCCTCTTGTCACAATCGGCTCTTCCTCTCCCTACCCACTATCGGCCCCCGACGTATGTTCCACAGTTTCGACCGGATCGCCTTCCATAGTTTGACGGCAAGGCCTCTGAGCTCCAGGGATGGATCACTACTTCCGAGGAGMAGCTTCGCTATCATGGCGTCGCCATGGAATTGTGGCCCGTCGAGATGTCATCCCGTTTCACAGGTCGCGCAGCCTCTACCTGGCGTGACTTCCTCGCTCTTCGATCTCAGCGGGGTGTACAGGAGGGCATGAGCTATCAGGAGTTCCGCGATTTCCTGCAGCAGTACTTTTCTCGTCCTGCGCCGACCCGCGACCCGATTTCCCGGGTGGCCGAGATCAGATGGCTTGGTGGCGACAATGCCCTCGAGTCATATATCACGGCATTCCACCGTGTCCGCGGCCAGATCCCCGTCACCACCATACCGGAGGATCCCATGATCCAGCGATTCCGCGCAGGCCTTCCCCAGGCATTCCAGCTGCAGATGATGGCCTACTCCATCTCTACGTTACCAGAGGCCTTCAACATTGCTCGGGCCATCCATCTATCTTATGCCCCACTTGTTGGCTCTTCGCCTCAGCCTCCCGCCACCTATSCTGCTGCTGCTGCAGCCCCTCGCCCCTCCCAGCCTCGACAGTCTTCCACTTTCCGTCGTGGTCCCCGCAGAGGTCCCGGCCGATCGCTCGCACGCCGATTCCACGCCTTGCTCCATGACCCGTCGGGTGCCGAGGAGGGCACGGCCTCAGACGGTTCGGCGAGTGACCCAGACCAGGGGTCTGACCCTCAGTCGCCCACGGAGGACGACACCCATTCCCAGGACGATCGCTTTCTCCGGGCCATTTCCGCTCTCTTCCGGCGACAGCCCTCATCATCCAGGACCCGTTCCACGGTCGCCCAGTTGCCTCTACCAGTGGGCTTTGTGTTCCCCCGCAGCCGTTTGACTATCACAGAGAGTGAGGAGCTTCGCGCACGAGGCATCTGCACCCGTTGCCGTCTCGCTGGTCACACCCCCTCTACCTGCCCGTATGCGGACGCTCTCCAGAGCCATTTTGCACAGCAGACTCGCTCTCAGGCTGTCCCCCCCGCCTCGACCTCCAGCACAGCAGCCACCTAGCCACGATGTCTCATTCCCCTGATCCTCCCACAGTAGCAGGCATTCCCGCCCRCGAGTCCACCTTCTCGCCACTTGCTACTCTCTCGGAGGACTCGGACTCGACTTCCTTGTCAGTCGACCCTAGTGTTGCCGACCCACCTCCCACGCCCTCACCTAGCGTCTCTCATGACCCCTCTCCTCCTCCTC